AGAAGTATAACTTCGCCTCCAGGTCCTTCAAAAGAGTTATTGCCAAGGCAAAGTCAGAGCACATAGGCAGAATTGGCGAGAAACTAGTTCGCCTTCCTTCGGGAACCCGTGCATTCTGGTCTCTCGCCAAGGCTGTCCAAGGGAATTTCTGTAAGCCATCACTACCATCTCTGCACAGGGAGGACGACTCACTGGCCCACGACGCAAAAGAGAAGGCCGACCTTTTAGGCTCCCTTTTTGCGTCCAACTCGACTGTTGATGACGGGGGGAACACACCGCCGACCATCCCGCGGTGTGAGTGCTCCATGCCGGATGTGCGATTCTCACAGCGCTCGGTTCGCAGAGCACTCCTCTCCCTTGACATCCACAAGTCGAGTGGGCCTGACGGAATCCCCCCAATTGTGCTGAGGACGTGTGCTCCGGAGTTGGCACCGGTTCTAACGCGTCTTTTCCGGTACTCCTACTCCCTAGGCGTAGTACCGAAATCATGAAAGACAGCTTTTGTCCACCCGATCCCTAAAAAAGGCGACCGCTCAGATCCGTCCAACTACAGGCCTATCGCCATCACCCCCTTGTTCTCCAAAATAATGGAATCCGTTGTAAACTGCCACCTCATGCGGTACCTTGAGGATCACCAGCTGATTAGTGACCGCCAGTACGGTTTTCGTCGGGGTCGATCAGCTGGTGATCTTCTGGTCTACTTAACTCATAGATGGGCGTTGGCAGTAGAGTCCAAGGGGGAGGCATTGGCCGTTAGTTTGGACATTGCGAAGGCCTTCGATCGGGTTTGGCACAAAGCGCTTCTTTCGAAGCTCCCTTCCTATGGGCTTCCCGAGAAATTATGCAATTGGATCACCAGCTTTCTTGCAGATCGGAGCATCAAGGTCGTTGTAGACGGTGCATGCTCCGACTACAAGCCTATTAACGCTGGTGTTCCACAAGGCTGCGTGCTATCACCAACGCTGTTTCTTCTGCATATCAATGATATGTTGCAAGCTGGTAGCATTCATTGCTATGCAGATGACAGCACTGGTGATTCTCTATACACCGGCCGTGCCAATATTTCTCGGGAAAACGTCACCGAGTACCGGAACAAACTTGTGTCTGAAGTCGAGTCTTTGCTGGACAAAGTCTCGGATTGGGGGCGACTAAATCTAGTCCAGTTTAATCCTCAGAAGACACAAGTTTGCGCGTTTACCGCTAAAAAGAACCCCTTTGTCGTATCTCCTCAGTTTCAAGGTACTCCCCTTGTTGCCTCAGCCAGTATCGGAATCCTCGGCGTCGACATATCGAGTAGCGTGCAGTTTCGTGGTCACTTGGAAGAGAAGGCCAAATTGGCCTCTAAAAAGCTTGGCGTGCTCAGCAGAGCGGGACAGTATTTCATGCCGGCTCAACGCCTGCAACTTTACAAGGCGCAGGTTCGGCCTCACATGGAATACTGTTCCCATCTCTGGGCTGGGGCTCCCCAGTGCCAGCTTCTTCCACTTGACCGCATCCAGCGCAGAGCGGCTCGAATCGTCGACGACCGAGTCCTTTCCGATCGGCTCGACTCATTGGCACTGCGAAGAGATGTTTTCTTTCGCATTTACCATGGGGAGTGCTCTGAGGAATTGTTCGGATTAATCCCAGCCGCCAAATTTCACGAACGCACATCGCGGCAGAACTCCCGATACCATCCACACCATCTGGATGATTGGCGGTCCACCACTGTGCGATTTAGAAGATGTTTTCTTCCTCGCACAACTTCCTTGTGGAATAGTTTACCACCAGCGATTTTTCCGGACCGATACGACTTAGGGACCTTCAAGAAAAGAGCCTACTCCTTTTTAAAAGGCCGGCAACGCATCTGCAATTCCCCTGGTGTTGCGGTTGTTCATGGGCGGCGGTAGTCACTTACCATTAGGTGAGCCGCATGCTCGTTTGCCCCCTCTCCTATAAAAAAAAAAAAAGTTACAAATTCATAAGATATTGTTTGGTCCAATTTAAATAGATAGTTTTACAAAATTAATAATAATAATAATCGGAATCGGGCTGTCGTGAGGGCTCTCAACCCAATGCTGGTGACCTATTTGGAAGCCAGCCGGGACCTTTGCGAGACGGACTCAATTCTTTTTGGCGCCGCACTGGCAGTTTGCCGTATTGTTGGCGCCAAACTTCCCACGGCTGGACGCGCTTCTAGACAAAGTAGCGCCACCCCAGCCTGGAGAATAAGGATTGAGGACCGTATCGTAAAGGCAAGGGCCCTCATCGGCAGGCTGATAAGCTTCAGGTCGGGCAATAATAGGCCGCGAATTGTGCGCACCGTCAGAATGGCGTTTGCTGGGACAAATATCAGTTTGTCCCAGCCGGATATAACGCAAAAACTGACGGAGCGCATAGACGACCTGAAGCAGAGAATCGCTGCTTGGGGGAAGCGGATTCGGCGATATACCGAGAGGTCGACACGGTTCAACCAGAATCGTCTCTTCCAGAGTGATCAGAAGAGGCTATATAAATCTTTGGAGCGACCAATGGTACGTGGAACGGGCCAAGCACCGAATCAGGCCGACATTGTCGCATTCTGGCGCGGCCTGTGGTCAGAGCCCGTAAACCACAGCGAAGGCCCTTGGACGGAAGTTGTGGTGAGTCAGTGTGCGAATCTTACGCCCATGGACCCCGTCATTATAACGCCGGACGATGTAGCTGAGGCGTTCCGAAGGGCCCCGAACTGGAAAAGTCCGGGGCTCGACGGGCTGCATCACTACTGGCTGAAGGGGTTCGTGGTGTGTCACGCTGTGCTCGCCCGACAATTTCAAGAGGCTCTCGACCAAAAGTCGCTCCCGAGCCTCTTCACTACTGGGATCACTCATTTGGTTCCTAAAGACCGGGATACCATAGAACCGAGCAAATACCGCCCCATCACGTGTCTACCCACGATATATAAGACACTAACATCCATTTTGAGCGCGAGAATCACTCGTCACCTGAACTCAAATCAGGTGATGTCGCGCGCTCAAAATGGATGTCGGGGCGGTGGTCGTGGAACCAAGGAACCACTCCTCATTGACGCGGTCATTGGCAAAGTGGTTAAACGCAACCGTCGGAACCTATCCGCCGCCTGGATAGACTACAAAAAGGCATTCGACTCGGTGCCTCATACATGGCTGAAGAGGGTCCTCGAGCTGTACAAGGTTGACTGTACAGTTAGAGACTTCCTCGGGCAGTGTATGGGGCAGTGGAGTACGATCCTTTGTCATCTAGGCGAGCGGATGACGGCTGCGGAGAACCACATAAGGATAAGAAGGGGTATCTTCCAGGGCGATTGTCTGAGTCCAATCTGGTTCTGCCTCTCTCTGAACCCTCTCAGTACCTTACTGGAGGGCTCCGGGAGGGGATTTCAGTTTCGGAGGGGAGGTACAAAAGTGACCCACCTTTTCTATGTGGATGATCTCAAGTTATTCGCCTCCAGTCGCTCTCATCTTGTGGAATTGCTAAACATCACTTGTGATTTTAGCAATTCTATTGGAATGGGGCTGGGGACGGATAAGTGTGCGGTCCTCCATGTTGAAAGGGGAAGAGTTGCTAACTCTGAGGGCATAGATTTATCTATGCCCATCAACATAAGGACCCTTTCCGAGGCTGAAACATACCGATACCTGGGTATGTCACAGAACATCGGTGTTGACGATGCGGGTATGAAAACAGTCAGTTTGCGATGTGTTTTATGCACGCTTGACCAAAGTGCTTAACAGCCTTTTGTCCGGTGTGAATAAGACGCACGCATATAACGATTGGGTCATGCCTGTTCTCATGTATACCTATGGCATACTTAGGTGGACTCAGACCGAACTAAACGCTCTGGACAGAAAAGTCCGCACTATAATGACGTCCCACAGGATGCATCATCCGAGATCGTCAGTAATGAGGCTGTACTTGCCGCGGAAGCATGGTGGGCGCGGCTTTTTAAGCGCGCTTACCATGCATAATCGCGAAGTGTGCAGCCTCCGTAATTACTTTCTGACGAGAGCGGATGATCCATACTATAGGGACGTTATTTCTTGTGATAAAGGACTGACCCCTCTATCCTTAGCCAACGAGCAATGGCAAGACCCAGCAGTACAGTGCATTTCCGACCGGGAGGCCGTATGGAAGGAGAAGGAGATCCACGGGAGGTTCTACAAGGCTCTACATGAGCCTTTCGTAGACACAGTCGCCTCCCTTCACTGGCTACGTTTCGGTGACCTCTTTGGGGAAACCGAGGGTTTTGTCTGTGCGATACAGGATCAGGTTATTAAGACCAACAATTATCGGAGATACATCCTAAAGGATGGGGCCGTCGACATCTGTCGAGCTTGTCGCCATCCCGGTGAGTCACTTAGGCATGTCATCTCCGGTTGTTCGGCGCTTTCTAACTCTGAGTATTTGCACAGACACAATCTAGTAGCCAGGATTCTACACCAGGAGCTCGCTCTGAAATACGGCCTCGTGGATCGGAAACTGCCGTATTATAAGTACTTGCCGGAAGCCGTGCTCGAAAATGACCGCGCCAGGCTCTACTGGGACCGGGCCATCATCACAGACAGGACTATTCTTGCGAATAAGCCTGATATTGTGCTGATGGACCGGGCACAGTCAAGGATCTTTTTGGTCGACATTACCATTCCTTATGACGAGAACCTCGTGAAAGCCGAAACAGATAAGGTGACAAAATATCTGGACCTGGCTCACGAGGTTACCGGCATGTGGGGTGGTCTGCCGACCGAAATTATTCCTGTGGTCGTTTCTGCGAACGGGTTAATCCCAGTCAGCCTCCCGGGTCATCTGAGGCGACTGGGACTCCGTGACGGACCGCTCCAGGCTCAAATGCAGAAGGCGGTGCTCCTAGATACCGCCCGCATCGTCCGCCGGTTTCTTTCCCTTTCCCCCTAACCCTCGGCCGTCTGGTCTCCCCTGCCGAGGGCTTCCATCTGGTTGGGTTTTTATATATTTATGTATTTTTTATGTATTTATTTTATTTTATTCATATTTATGTATGTTTACCATTTTCATTTACAATTATATATTTATACTGCCCAACCAGATGAGAAAACTTTATAGATACCCCAAAATAATAATTATCTTTATTGAGATAATATGAGGTTACAAGTAGCTTATGAAGCCTCTGAATCCTAAACTAGGTAAGAACCTGTATGTGGATGGATTCAGCACCTTCTCCCATGTTTCTTAGCCTAATTCAATTCAAGACAATTTTCCAGAAGGTGTTTCCAGAATAAACTAATAACACTAATTTTTAAAGAATGTTATTTGATAATTTTGTGTGTGTGTGTGTGTGTGTGTGTGTGTGTGTGTGTGTGTGTGTGTGTGTGTGTGTGTGTGTGTGCGTGCGTGCGCGCGTGCGTGCTTGCGTGAGTGCGTGTGTTTGTTTTACATATATGCTTCACCTATTTCAGTATTATTTATTTATCTATTATATAATTACTTATACGAGTATAATAAAATGAATGTAAGTGACAGAAATACTCTACTTTAGTGTTACTAAAGGATATGAAATCAAATAATTTGTACAAAAGGAGTGTAAACTAAATGTAAGACTTAAAGAAGACAATTTCTTTTTGTGCGGAGAATGGGCCCACCACAAATTGTGGTGTACATTATTCAACTTTTAGAAAACCTAATTAGGAACCTAAGTTGGAAGCTGGTGATCACATTACACTAAATTGAATTCTAAATCGTGACGAAGCACATTCGTAAAAGAAGTATCGACGGGGTTGCACGTTTGATCGATGGCGCCGTATTTATCAAAACAGCAGAAAATAGGACTTGCCTTAGCCGTGGTGGGCACAATGGATATTAAAAAAAGAAAAATGAGAAAATGCTGGGTTAAAGAATACTTTTCATTGTATTTGTAAATATTTAACAACACCTTGAAGCCCTCTTCACGCATTGCTTTGTTTAAATAGTTTTTATCATTTTTATTATACAAGTAGGGCATTTCCCTATACAGGTCTATAATTTGTAATAACACCTCTTTTTCTGTGGACATGCTGCCACACGAACCACTGCTCAATTCTTTCGCTTCACTCGCCATCGCAAACAAATGTCACACGCGCAGTCAAGACATCCGCTTAGATCAAAGGGCGGGCGCCGACTGGTCGTTCTAAATCGTAGCGTTGCGATTACACTGTCCTAAAGTGTAGACAATTCAGAAAGTAGAGCGGTCGGGACCTCCAACTTTAACTAAATCTGTACTAACTACGATTACATTTTCCAACTTCCTAATTAGAATTTCTAAAAATTGAATAATGTAATAAACGCTTTAATGAAATACATGTCGATTTATACCTCATAATCTATAGATTACAATAGTAATATTAGTTTTACTGTATCTAACGGGAATACTGAGAAATTAACAATTAAAATATGAATATCATAAGGACCTAAAAACAAACTAAAAGTGATGATCTAGCAGTTTTCACCGGTGTTATAAGTTAAAATACTAGTCAATAATTAATAGTATAAAACAAAGTTGTAGGTACATTCAGCATTTATATGTACTTTAAGATTGATTGAAAATCCTTTTAGTAATTTGTTCTTCGTTACTGCGTTTTATTTTTCATATATTTTTTTCAGATTTCATGATTCCAGTTAGATTTTCATAAAATCTTTAGGCCATTTACTATAATAAATTGGTATTTTTACCGACTTCAAAAAGGAGGTACTCAATTCGACTGTATGTTTTTTTTAATGTGTGTTACTTTATAACTTTTTTCTGGGTGAACTGATTTCAATGATTCTTTTTTTTTCTTTGAAACCTGGTGCTTTTCATGTGGTCCCACATAAATTTGATAAGGTTTTACCAATAGTTTTTTTAGTTATTCTTAATAATTTATATTGAATATGGTCGTACAAAATTTTTAATTATTTATGTGTAATAAAATTAAGTAATGTTAAAATTTTTGGTGAGCCCAAAAAGCGATTGTCTTCTTTATAGGATGATGTCACTAGCAAGAAAATTTTGCCGAAAACACTGGTGTACAACTTATTGAACTATATAACCAGTGAACAATCTTCTAAAAATTTAAATTTTTAATTAAAAAATTTATTCAGTCAATCTGACATCTGATGGACTTTCACAAGGGAAATAACTTCATGAGTCTAGTCTACTACCCAAAGACCCTTTTTTTGAAAATTGCTCCAAGAAGGAACCAAAAGTAACAGCAATGCAATTGGTTCAAAGGCTACAATCTGAAGACCAGGTGCTTGTGAGTGACCTAACTTTGAGTAGGAGACTGCTCAAAGCCAACCTTCATGCTCTTAGACCACTTCTGGTTCCAGCTGTAAGAGAAAATTGTGAATGTGAAGACTGCAATGGGCTAAAAAACAAGTGAACTGGGAACCTGATCAATGGTTAGTGGTGCCTTTCAACGATTAATCCCGATTTAGATTTCATTTTGATTCGACGAGAGTATGTGTTTGGAGAGTTCCGGATCATACAAGCCGGCTTCAACACCCTCCAGACGGTCATCCATTCCAAGGTGGTTATAGTGTGGCAGGAATTTATTTTGATGGAAGAATAGACTTCTTATGAATACTATGGCAGTTGAAAAATACCATAATGAGGTGATAGAACCAATAGTCTTGAAACATTGAACATAAATGCGTCAGACTTTCCTACTTATGCACTATAATACCCACTCACATACGGCCAGGGTGGTAACAGCCTGGTTGTACAAACATGATGTCAGGAATAGTCCTTAGAATGTCCAGCACAATCCCCAGATATAAATCCCATTGAGCATGCTAAGGTTATGCTCCAAAGAAGACCTTTGAGGGATTTTCCTAAAAATTTGGTTACACATGAACAATTTTCTATGCATCTCAGTAGAACTTGGGACAATATTCCTCAATAGGATATTGACAGCCTCATTCTGAGCATACCCAACCAATGCAGATGCGTTATGAATGTCATGGGTGCTTTTACTTATAATGAACTCTTAGTTAATAGCCGCCATAAAAATAAAGTGAAATAAAAGATACTTACTTTACTTTATTTTTAATTTAAAAATTAAACTTTCATGATGCAGTTTTCACAGTTGTGAATTTTTTCTATGCATAAAAATCTAAATCTCCTTTTAAAGTCAATAGTTATATTAAAAAATGGTAGATTATTAAATAATGTTTTCTTAGTTAAATATGTTTTAAGAAAATTTTGATCTTTGGAATTCATGTGTTTTTAAAATATCCCTATACCGTATTGACGTGTTAAGCAACTTCTTTATGAGTGAAAATAGAAGAGACAAATGGATTTTTGAAATATAGGATAATTGTAAATTTCGGTATCCAGACTTCTTAAGGCTCGCCGAGCCAAGTCGAATGGCAGAAAGTCGGCTCCCATATATTTACTATGAAACTGCGTCCATTAGGTACGAGTCGCGGCGCGCCGAATTGAATCGACTGCGCTAATTGCTTGTCAGGCCAATTTCTTCGCCAGTGCGACTCGATTCAACTCCACGTGCCTCAGTTGACGCAGACAAGTGGATGCGTGGCAACGTATTTTTATTAATTTCTATTTCGTTTTAGTAAGAATCTTTTTGTTTAAATAAAAATGAATGAAGAACTATTGATATCACTGGTCTAACAATATCCAGAATTGTTTAATCATGAAAATCCACATTATCACGACAAAAACAACCTATTTTGATGAAGAATTTGCGATGAATGAACAATTCCATTTGATTCTTTAGAGATGGACGCACTAGGAATAAATGCGACTAGCTTTGATTCGACGCATTTCTGCTGTAGGCGACGCCAGGCTTAGGACGGCCACATACATACGGAATTCCGTTTCGATATTACGATTCGGAATTCCGAACGCAGCAAGGCCATATAAAATATATGAACCGTCACACACGTACAGTAGTTTTCCGTTCGAAATTTTGCGGCCAAAACGGGATTCCGTATATATGGCCGACCCGTTCGGAATTTCGAAACGGCATCCCTAACGGAATTCTGTATGTATGTGGCAGGCCTTAACAAGGAATGGAAATGAAAATATAATACCTCTTCGTATACCTTCTGCTTTTTCTCCGGAATATTCTTAGACTCTTTTGGTGTTTCATTTTCGACGATATCAAACACAGGTTTAAACCACTTTCTACCCTGTAAAAATAACACCAGAGTTTCAATATAGTATATTATTAGACCTGAATCTACTCAGTGGATATAAATCTTTTTAATGTGAATTACTTTTTGCATTTTTTTCGAAACTGTTCAAAACAACTTTATAATTTGTGTTCAAAACAAAGTCGATGTCATAGTTCTTTTTTTTTTGGAGTTTATGGCCTGGTATCTAGACCTTTAGGCCAAGTCTTAAATATTTTTATTCAGTTTATTGTAATTTCCCCACTCCTTCATAGTATACTGCTTCACAATATGTTGATGCGTCTCATTGTGCAGTTCTTGGGAGATTTTGGCGGCAACTTGATCCAGCAGACAGCTGATAGTTGGCGATGGTATCTAAAGGTGCCTATGCAAACAAACAGCTTATCTTGAGAATCCATCACGATCAGAGCACTTGTTTCACTGTTTCCACTAATAGTTCACATGCGTAGACACTTAATACACAAAATCGCAACACTTTTACATATCAAAGTCCACTTCAAACCATTATTTAAACAATAATACAGGAGCAGCAAACCGCCGCCGGTCAATTTCCCGCCAAAACTCCTGTCATAGTTCTTACCGCAGAGCAGTGTTGCCAACTGCTAGCTTTACCCAGTTGCTAGATTTTTTTTTGGAGTTTTATGGCCTGGCATCTAGACCTTTAGGCCAACCCAGTTGCTAGACATTTTTCAAAATGTTGCTAGATTGCCAGCTTTTTTACCCCAATAAGTTGCTAGAAGTTGCTAAATGTTACAGTACGTAGGTAGATTTCAATAAAATGTTAATTTCTGACAATCATTTTTAATTTCCAACAAGAGAGTTAAAAATTTCTTGTATACAGTCACGAGCAATAATATGTAAACAACATAGGACTATATTATATTATATTTATTGTCGACTTTTGTGGCACAAATAGTTTTGTTTCGGAACGTTTAACGTGACAAAGTTCTATGTTGAGTTTAAAGACATATTATTGATCGTGACTGTATGTACGTTATTGAATAAAAAAATAAGTTTAAAATTAATCAATCAAAGAAGTTGTCGATATTTGGGGTTCAATCTCTTTCGTCATTAATTCTGAATATTTTTCAGCGGTGCCCATTTTATACAGTACATCTTTAGACAAAACACGTTTATAGCTGCGTTTACCACTTTTTCTGAGGGAGTCACTAATGCAGAGGATTGAGTTCAGAGTTATGAAACTCAACCAACCTTTAAATTCGTCCATATTTTCCCTCTTCGGTCTATATTTCTGTGCGTACGCTTTTTTTCGAAGATAAATCTATTTTCAAATAAAATTAGTTTATATGGATAAAACAAAATAACACAAGGTGGAATACGAGTAGCGTGTACTATTTTGGTTAGTGAGTAATCTGTCGTAACGCAGCAGGAAACGGGGAATTCCCGGCCAACACCGACCTAAGCCTACCATAGCATCTATGATCATAGATTCGCGTTTAGTTTTTATTTTTTCTTTCGAATCTCGGTACCCTACTCTACGAATCTTGATAGCCTCACGTCTCATGATGAAATGAAAAGTTGCTAGAAAAAGTAGCTAAAAAATTTAGCTACTTTTTAATTTGCTTAAAAATTCATTAAATTGTAGCTGTCCGTGTCCAAAAAACAGCTATATCTAGCTACAAAGTTGCTAAGTTGGCATCACTGCTTACAACTGGCTTTAAGGCGCTGGGTTCTAGCAACAGAGTACATTGTAGTTCTAGCTTTTCTGAGCTTGAAATTTGAAAAAGTGCAGTATATTTTTTGGTAGTACCAGCAACAGTAAGTATAAAAGTGTTAAATTAATATTTCGAATGTTTTCTTTTTTATTTACTTCTCTCCTTATTCTTGCCCAGACTCAAGGGCCATAGCCAGGTGTAGAAAGTCGCCTGATGATGACTTTGAGTTTAGTAGACGTATATTTGTTAAATCTGTTTAAATATGATCTATTTATTATAACGAGGGAACAAATTTATAATAGGACTGCAAAATTACTAATGTCAGAGAAGCTGGAGCTAGTGGGGCCGCGGATGTGTTAGAAAGCGTTTTCGTGGCCTTGCCAATATGTGGCGAAGGTGGAACACCATGGGGTTTTAGTAGGTGCGAGTAAGACATAATCCGTTCTTCCCCGAATTTGAAACCCGGAACAAAATTCGTTCTGTTAGTTACGAAAAAAAACGTAGATAGACCAACGCAGCGTCGATCTTGGTTATATATGAGGTATAAAGCTTGCGTCTATAGTCCTAGGTATTAATTGATACATTTATTTATTGTATGGCATTATATTAATATTATGATTCATAAATAGAATGGATTTTACGGGTAGGCCTGAGTTTAGAATTTTTATCGATATGTTTTGTCACACTGTCTTATCTGTATTATTAGTTCCTTGGACGTTCACTTTTGCTGTCAGCGCCGTAATGGAGAAAATTAAATCACCTCATTATGTCACGGTTTATAGCCAGTCCATATAAACAGAATGGGGTCCCAGATATATGCAATAAATGAAACTGTTTACGCTCGAACGGTGGTTTCGGAATCGACGTCAGAGGGCGCGCGGCTCGATGCAATACCGGTCTGACATTCGGCCGTGCGTAGGACGTGCAAGCGCAGAGTCGTCTGTAAGAGGTGCTAACGTTAGCACGCTGTCATTTTTGTCGGGAACTCGGAATAATTAGCCGCGGACAGTAAATATACGGTCTAGGATTTGTGGCGCGCGTTCCTACTGGAGAGCTTCCCAGGGTCACATTGTGTCTGACTCAGAATCTGCATAAGTGCATTCGGCAATATTAGCTAGTGCGGCCTTTGATATTCTAGAAATAACTGTTGCTACGCGAAACGGTAGTGACCTTTGATCCGGAAACTCTGTGTGCGTTTTGTGCGTTAACCTTATACCCAGCGAGAGTTAGTGGCTTCTGTAAGTTAGTTGATCGTGCGATAGAGTTAATTGACTGTCATCGTGATGAACGAGGAAAGTGACTGTGGAGAACGCCGCGGAAGTTTCCCTCAATTTGGAGCGGTGTCGACGCCCGGGCTGCTGCCGACGGCCAAAGTCTAGTGTCAATCACTATCAGTCACACCCAGATACACATCACATCACCTTATTTCCCTTGCACTACACAACCACATGCGATCTGACCGACTCCGGAGGGACCAGTCGCCTTGGATAGAGGTAAGTAAGCTCCGTCTAATATCCGCCCGGTCGACTGGCCGTAGTATAGAACGCTCCCCCATATAGTTTAGTGTAATTAGAGATTTTTCACTTTGGCCTGGAGGAGGCCCGACCTACGTCTGCTCGTCGAAACTCAGCTGAAAATAAATATTAAAATAAATTCAGTAAAAGTAAACACTCTGTTTAGGACAACGTCCCTTGACTCCTTCGAAGAGTGACAACGTTGCAGGCGGGTGGCATGGCGGTTGGCGGCAGGCAGCGTTATTGTCGACACGGCCTATGGTTCGTTGGACAATGTGTGACGAAATAAAAACTTACTCACTAAACTGTTTAGGTATTTTACCGCCACTTTTTTATTTCCCTAAAATGGAACTGAACGAAATAAATATTATTGCATATTAGTAGCAAAATTTAATGAAACCCTAAATTTTAAAATTTTCAAAATGTCCGCCACGTTCTTGAATGCACAATTTACATGGTCGCATAATGTTGTCCTGAAGCCTGCTCAACAAATTTCTTTCAGGATCCAGAGCCAGGGCTTTTAATTTGTTAAAGGCGGCAACAATACGATTGCACAGTTCATCTTCAATTTCGTTCACTTCATTTTTAATAAAGTCCCATAAAAAGAAGTCTAGAGGAGTGAGGTCGGGCGATCGAGCTGGCCACCTGTGAGGGCCATAGCGCCCTATCAATTGTTCGCCGAACATGGTGGTAAACCGCTCTCTCGCGAGGAGTACGGAGTGTGAAGGAGCTCCATCTAATTGGAATCATAACCTCTGGTAAGCCGCCACAGACAATCCTTCTAAATATTCTGTTGTTGGGCCGTTAAGAATATTGAGAAACTTCTGTGCATTCAGGTTTCCGTCAATAAAAATAGGGCCGATTATTTGATCTCCGTGAATGCCCGCTCAAATATTAATGGAAAATCGGTATTTATGAGCTGATTCCCTAAATAAATGGGGATTCGTATGGCTCCAGTAACGCATTGATTGTCGGTTCTATATGCCGTTTCGAGCAAACGTGCTTTCATCTGTCCAAAACATATTTGTTAGGAAACGTTGGTCTTGAGACATTTTTTCCAGTACCCAGTGGCAGTAAGACACTCTAATTGGCTTGTCACGGGGCAGCAGCGCCTGCACCTTAACATATTTATAAGGACATAGTTTGTTCCTTTTCGGCACTCGGTGTATTGTTTTATGACTCACTCTAAACACACACCCAGCTTGTCTAAAGCTGCAGGTTGGATTCCGATCGAAATGGCTTAAGACTCGTTCGAACGAGGGTGGAAAGTGACGCGGAGCAACTCCTACATGAGTGTTGGGCACTATGCGCTAATTTTCCTTAATTCTTTGGACAGCACCTAAGATTGTCCGGACGCTAGTAGGGCAATGGCGAGTTGCGCCGTATCTCTCACGATAAGTACGCAAAGTTAACGCTGAATTTTGGCGGCATTCGCCATACAATAAAACCATGTCCGCACTGAAAAATGCTGTTGTGTTGGCATTTTCCGCCGCCAAAACGTATACACAAAAGTCAAGTAGTGTCAATATCACAGTGAAAAAATAATAAAAATAAACGTACTTAAAACACTATTTACACACAAAAAGTCAATTAACTAATAAGTGTCTATTTCACCGTAAAAGAATTCTGAAACACTCCTGAGTATGTGTGCTCAGACTGCCCCGCGTTTTCTGGGGAGGGTGGGGGGCAAAATACTGCTCATGTGACCCCTGTCACGCTATCCGTGAATTTTTGCAACATCAGGGGACTTTATTCCAACCTTAACGCTGTCCATTAACATCTCTAGAGACGGCGAAGTACTAATAAGTGTCTATTTCACCGTAAAAGAATTGTGTGACTAATTGTATTTATCTTACGATAATACGATAATTATCTTACGATAAATAATTACGATGCGCGTAAGCAGCGAAACGCACCTGTATTCTGGAAAAATTGCGCGTGAACTGGAAGCCAAACTT